AGCTCAAAGTTAGCGCGATGATTTGATCTTGGATGTAGTAAGCGAGGTACGAAGAACGGACCCCTGGTTTACACCTAGATGAGGACCTTTGTCATTTCCTATTATTTCTGTAAGATACACAACCATTCATCTGCTCAAGTTTGTAGGGGCCGGAGTCAATCCAAGCTGGCATCAAGTGAGAGGCAGGGTACACTCTGAATAGGTCACCTGTAGCAGATTTAGAGTCATTAATTAACCAGCCCTACATGCCTGTGGGACAATGCTTATGCAAGACAGGAAGAACATGCTGGCTCCACAACAACAAATGAATGAATAACTCACACCTCTCTCTGGTTATCTCAAAAGACTCTTTATTGGTTCAGTCACAGACACCTGTTTGTTGCATCTGTATTGGACAGTATAAAAACACATGATAAAGAAAATATACAACAGATGTATAGCACCAGGTTCTTCAACAAACAAAGGGCTGATGGTTATTTATCAAATGACAGACTTGCCCACCTCCTTTATGTTGAAACGGCAACCATAGTGACATGCATACAACGGTAGTCAGGTTACAACACACCCTAAAGGGTGAAGTTTTTGACCTACAGCTGGACACCTTGGATCTGCCCGTCTCTGAACAGATGGCAGAAAAACAATAACATTGATCCAAGATTAGTGTTACCCCATCAACTCTCAGGCCTAGTCCTAGCTGAGCTCCTGTGGAGGTCGGCGTCCCTTGCTGCAACTTAAGAAAATAACAGAAAATCCAGGGAAACAGTGACAACTCAACATTTAAAAAGTAAATAATGCTATTACGTGTAAGAGGAAAAAAAAAAAATTCTTATATTTTTGTTTCTCTGATGAGACCAACGCAGGTGGGCAAACATAGTTTGTATAGCAGAATCCTTTAAGATCACATTACATGGCTATGGAAACAACTGAAGTAACATCCCAGGCCACTGGTACTCATGTACATCCATTCGTCTGTCAGCAATAAAATAATTACTACATACTGATAAATCATCTGGATTTGTATTGCACCAAACAGATTCTAGTTTTACAGTAAGGGGGGGGGAGTGGTAGTGGGAGATGGGATGTGCAAAATATGGGAGGAGGAATCTGCGTAGTGGGATTAATCTCAAATATAGAGCCCCTTTCAGACGTGCACTCTTCTCCTTTGATCTGACAGCATGAAAACACGTAGGTTTCATGTGCGAAGGAAGACCCCGGTCACTCTTCTGTGAAAGCCACGACGGCAAAGCTTTTACTAATGTTGAACTTGCAACATTAGTGTATCAACTTCTACACTGCATGCGTCGCATTGCAACTTAAAAGGAACTTGCGAGATTAGGACAGCGACCGTATCGCGTGGACCTGCGAGTTGTTGAGCTCTCAACCTAAAGACCTGAACAGAAATACCAGGTACACAATGAGATTTTATCTCGCCAACTCTGTTTCGAAACAACAGCAAACATCTCTCTGAGCCTGTGCAGGAGAGGCAGGGTACAGCTCTCTCAGCAGGATACATGCAGTAATGGGTGCGTTCCACTTCCCACGTAGGCAAGTCTGAGTGATGTAAATTGCATCAGCAGATTGTGTGCAAGACATCTGCATGCCTGCCAATTTGCAGTGATGGCATAGACTTGCCCGCTGAGATGTTGCAGTTTACAAACAACCTGTGCAGAAAGTAACAGGAAATGCTACTCATCAGTGGTGTCTGCAGCTACTTATACGTGCAACGCACACGCTTAAGAAAAATACCCTGTTCATAGTGACAACAGCAGAAATTAATAGTTAAACAGCTGGCCAGGGAAAACTCATTTTTCCCCAGTAACTGGTGGTTGCCAACCTGTCTCTAGGATCGTGCCTAAATCTATGAGACAAACGCCCACACCCTCTTCACAGCTCAGTTTTTCAGATGATTTTGTGGTCCCAGTCGTCGGTTTCACATCATACTGAATAAAACGTAAAAATTCTAGTCATTCAAAGTTGGGAGGTCACTGGCTAAATATTTGTGAACAACAAGCGCAAATAAAAAAATAAAAAATAAAAAAAATCACAGATTAAATACGAGTAAATTGTGAGAAACAATGTAAAAGCACCATACGTCTGACTGACAGGATGTCAGCACTTTAACGAAAAGCCAGCGGTGCATACATCACGTCTGAAAGGGGCTCAATAGTGCAAAAAGTCGATCTGACAGCAACATACAGTATATGCTTTGGGTGAAAACAATACGTTCTTAGAAAGATAACTGAATAAAAACAAGAAAGATCCCACAAACCATGAAATTAACCAGAAGCTATGTTCTACAACTGCATAATGCCATTTCTGTCACTTCACAGACACCTCTGCATTTTGTGGGGAATTGACAACTGAAAATGCTCTTGAAAAAGAACTCATGACATCAAATATTTGGTTTTAGTACAGGCCAATTAGTGCATTTCAAGACACACTCTTACAGCTGTGGCCTTTTCACAGATAGCTACTGGAGTTAAGATTGGGTGTTAAGTGAACTGAAAGATTCCTTCATTAAAAGCCTGTTTTGGCTACTTGTTTGCGACAGCAGTAGAGAAAACAAAAGGCTCGGATTAAGAGAAAGTTTCAAATCAAATTCCAATATACTTTAAGCAAACCTAAAATACAAAAGCAAATATTAAATTACAAATTAAACATTCAAAACAGTGCCAAAGTACGAGTCACTATAAATAAAATAAGTGGGGGTTTTAGAGCTGGCATTGTGGCTTAAAGTAGTAAAAATTATGATAAATGTCAGGTTAAGATATACAGTAAGGGCTCATTTCCGAGAAGAAGTGTTGGTCTTAGTATCAGTAAAGGTACATTTTTAGGGAGATGGCAGTCGAGCTTTCATTCCTCTATGACCACTCTGACAGGGTTCACGGTATAAGCACTTTTCCATTAAAACTCTGAAGTAACTATTATATTGATCTACTATACACCTTCAGAAAGACAAAGGCAAGATGACAAAATGTACATACATATCCATGGATAAAAATAGTGCAACATCAAGCTTTTAAGTTAGACTGCTACATAGCTGCTGATTGTAAGACTGAACCATACTGAGATGGCCAGTCTACGTGGTCAGCACAAAGTCCAAAGGCACCACGTTAAACCACAGTCCCTTTCCCAGGAAGAGGAGGCCTCATGCTTCAGTTAGCTTTCTGTCAGGAAAAGATAAAAGAACAAACGTTTATTGGGTAACTTTTGCATGGGCAAAGTCAATGCCTTCAATTCAAAGAAAAGAAAGAAAAGTAGTTACCAAGGACAAAGTCACGCCATCTCGGCCCAGTCAGGCCCCTCATTCGCGATTGTCTCAAGATTTTCGCTGGTGGTGGTTGTGGTGGTTCAGTAGACGCAACCCTGGGACTCTTGAATTTTCTTTTCTGCCTCCCTGCTGGCTTTGCTTCCTGCTCCTGGACTGATTTTGATGCAGAATCTGCCAACTCTTTCGAGGCAGTCCTATTAATGCTCCTTTTTCTTTCAGTTTTCACAGCTTTAACGAATCTTACCAGTTGCCTGTCCTGTTCTGCAAAGAGGTATGCAGAAGGTGACCCTTCCAGTGTCACAGTACAAGAGTCCCACTCTTCCTCAGCCGATTCGCTATCAGGAGAGTTGATCTTCCTTAGAAACACCCGGCACTCTTTCAGCGTTTCAGGACCCCAGGCTTTGGAGCAAAGGTTCTGCTCTTTGTGTACATCCACGAGTTCCCGAGTTTGGCTAACCGAAGAGGCGGCAGAACCGTTTTCCAAACCAACAGAGTGCCGATCGTTTGTGGATGTGTATAATGCTTTACGTTTAGATTGTAGTCCAGTTACTATACGTTCATTTCTACAACATGATACTGCTTTTATGTTTCTCCTGTCCCTAGCCCCATTTTGCCACCTATCCCTTTCTTTCCGGGTTAGAAAACGTGTCCTTGCTCTAACCAGAGTGGCTTGATATATACTAAATGCTTTGCCTCTCAACGGCTGGACTTGGCGAGTGCGCTTGCTTGCAATGCTTAAAGTAAAAAGTTGTCGTCTGTGTGTTGACACAGCTGCTTTGTTTCTCTTCCTCAGCCGTCTCTGAGCCTTCTGATGCTGTAAAGGGCTTTTTGGCACCATTTTGGCAAACTTCTTGATGTGTTTGCGGAGTCGCTCTGCCTGAGGACTGTGGCAAACACTTTTTGCATTAGCAGAACGAGGGAAGTGCATAAGTTCGTAACAATTACGGGAGCTTGCCTTCTTGACAATGGCCAGAGATTGTGTCTCGGTGGTCTCCATAAACCAGGAGCAGATCTGCTGCATGCTACAGGACCTTGGTTTGTTGGGCGAACAGTCAAACAGTGTTCGGACCACAGAGGAATGATTTGAATTCTTGGCAAATAAACTGCTGTCTTTAGTGCCTAGTTTAGAATCGAGGGCCAATTCTTTTTCTTGGTTGTCCACAGCGTCTGAGACCCAAGTGTCAGAGATGACTCTTATTCGTCTGGCGAGCTCCTGGTTCATTGTCTTTTCCTCAGCTGATGCTGCCCACCACCTTAATGTCTCTTTAGACCTAAAGATCGAATCAACAGATACCCCTGCCAATCTGCTTACGTCTAGAGAAACGCCCTTCTTCTGTGGTCCACATGACTTTCTCTTCTCACCTGAAGTTTCGAAACTACTTTGCTGCTCATCCTGTCTCCTTTCACTGTTTGCCTTGTTTAAAAGAAGTTGTTTAGAGCGTCGTACCAGCGCATTGCTGCGGCTATATGATGTAGAGGTGGCAACAGCATGCAAAAAGTGTATTGATGGCTTTCTCACTCTCTTGGAGTGTCGTACTACAGGCTGATTGGAGAGTTCATCTTTACTACCATCATCTGTTTCTTTCCCTTCTTCTTTTTGACCCCTTTTGCTCATTAACTGATGACTGATTGTCCTGGGCTCTTTGGCAGACATGAAGTCTTGTAGAAGTACTTTCCTAGGAGCCAGCATTTCAGGAGACTGCCTATTCTCTTTATTGATTTGAATTTTACGTTGACGAGGTGACACTGTGGTCACTGTGACTGAGATTCCAGAGATTTTAACCTTTGCAGGTCTACCTGGTTTCCTTGAGCGAACAGAATCATCATGCTTTTGACATTTGATGTTACTGCCAGATTGAGGAGCAGGCCTTTTCGCTGGTCTGACAAAATCCAACTCCTCTGAGGTTGTTTTAATACTACCTGAGCTGGTCTTAGAGTTGTGCAATAGATTTACGGCTCGCCAAGCGTCATGAAATTCTGTTTGCAGCTGGTCAAAGCCCTCTGACACCAATCGTTTGTTTCTCCTCGAACGGCCATATACGACTGTTATCTTGAGGTTTTTAGTTGTATTCTCCTCAATATTAGGTGCCAACTGACATTTACCATTTACCATTTTAACATTTTTAGGTTCGGAATCCAAAGTCTTCTGCTTACGGGGTCGGCCAATTGGCCTTTTTGCTTTTTGCTCCAGCTGTGGTCCCAGTTTCTTCGGACGCCCAGGACGCCTTTTTGGTGGAGTGGTTTCATGAAAAGAAGTCGAGTTACCTGATAATCCCTGGCTGTCAGCTCCAGCTACGCGCTTAGTTGGAGTACCTTCACCTGATCCTCTGGAAGCATCTTTAGGTGATGAGGAAGGGGACCTGGGCAAAGAAGGAGACTTGCGTGGTGAAGAACCGTACTTGGGTGTTGAGGAACCAGATTTGGCGGGTGACAAAGCACACTTGGGTGTTGAAGAACCAGACTTGGATGGTGAATTAGCAGACCTGCGTGTTAAGGAAGCAGATTTGCTTGGTGAGGAAGAGGACTTCGATACTGAAGAATCAGACTTGTATGGTGAATAAAGAGACTTGGGTGTTGAGGAACCAGATTTGGCAGGTGACAAATCACACTTGGGTGTTGAAGAACCAGACCTGCGTGTTGAGGAAACAGACTTGGCTGGTGATGAAGGAGACCTGCGTGTTGAGGAACCAGACTTGGCTGGTGAAGAAGATGACTTGGTTGGGGAACAAGAAGACCGTATGCATGAGGCAGAAGATTTTAGTGGTGAGACAACTGATTTTACTTGTGATATTGCAGGCTTTTTGCTCTGGATTGTGTGCTTCTGAAGTGTCCCTGACCATGAAGACTCTTCACAGGGATCAAAATGTTCTGTTTGTGAGCCAGAACCAGAGCCTGCTGATTTGAGACTGTATTTAACTCCCTCTTTATCCTTTACTGGTGATACAAACATAAGTTTAATTGGACTAGTGTACTGGACTTGGGAATTTTTAAGACTCTCAAGACAGGTATCAGAATTTATAGGGACATCCATATTTGATGAGTCCTGTACTCTTTTTGATGATGCTGATCGTAGCCGTCCTAACAGAGGGACAACACTGTCACTACTATTGTTCTCTTTGCCTGAGCGATGTTTTTTAGGACTTTGGTCTTTTGCAGTCACAATCTGTGGAGTGACCTGGCTTTGACTTTTCACTTCCATGTGAGATAGTTCATGTCCTTTTTCTGCTGACTGAAAGGCAAGCTTCCCTGTGTTCACACATGAGGACAAAGAAACGTCATTTCTGGATTCTACGTTGGCATCCTTAGCATCTGGATCTTTGGATGACATATGATTGGTGCTAGATGAAGCCTTGTCCTTTTGTGCTTTCTGATTGAAGATAGGTTCAGAGAAACACGCAACAAAGAACATACGTCTGGGCTCTGTGACATAGGAGGAGAACCGCGGTGGAGGGACTATATTTCTCCTTGATCTTCTTGCACCCTCAGAAATGTTAAGCAGATGACACACTCTCCCTTTAATAGCACAAGCTTTCCTTTTACCTGATCTTTCAGCCTCAGTGGTTTCACTTGATGGGGATCCCTTGTGGCTTTTGTCATTTGTAGAACTGCAACCCTCACCACCTTCTTTGCAGGACAAAACACACTGTTTAGCTGAGCTTGTAGCCACTGTATTTACCTGTTTTTGTACACTTGAACTTTGTTGGTCATTGTTGTTCTGTATCTCAGGGGTGCATTTAGGTTTTTCAACATTCTGGCGATGACGGGATCTAGTAACGGGTGACTTGGATTCTTTGTCTTGGCGACTAAACAGCTCACTCAAGCTGTAATCACTAGGACTGCTTGTGCGAAGCACTGTGGTGATGATCTCAGTGACATGGGCATCAGCACGAAAAGGCAGGTTGTAGCTGGTTGAGGGAGATAACGGCTGCTCCTTTTCAGAAACATAGATAGCCGTAGAAACCAGAGTAGGGTCCTTGTCAAGAGGTGTTATTGTCTCCAGTTTCTCACTAAAACGATCCATGACATCCTGCAGTGAAGTCCCACTTGGATTCTTATCAGCCTGACTTCTTTCAGCAATCTTACTTTCAGCATCTTCTGTAGTTGCATTGACATCTGAGGCTTCGTAGCTTGCAGTTACGAAACTCTGTACCATGAGATTAACATCCTCCTCTTGGTGAAGCAGAGAGGGTGGGTTTTCATCACATTTCTTACCGAAATCTGACGGGATTGGGGAAAGAGGGGGAGGAGAGGGACTCTGCTCTCTCTTCAGAACAGGACAAGGAGGGTCTCCATCTCCTACCTCTCCATCTGTTGTTTTCTTGATTTGGAAGCTGCGTTTCTCACAACATATGGAAGAGGACGAGCATAAATTAGAAGAGGGTGTGCAAGGTGAATGGCACGATGCAGGAGAGGCTGCAACAAGACTCTGACACGAAGTGCAATGCAGCTTCTTGGAACATAAAACAGTGTCCCTTTCGTTCCTGAGCATCTCTTTTTCATGGCAAGCATACTTGAGGATTTGGTAGATTAAGGATTGGTGAGCTGGGCAGAGAGAACTCAGAACATCATCCAATGTAGAACATTGACCAAACTTAGTCCCTCGCTGTTGCTGACCTGCCTTGTCTTCTGTGAAAGATGGCACCAGGGAGCTAGAGGTAAAAGGTAAAAACTGGAGTTAGAATGTTTTACTCACAAAGTTTCAAATGAGAAAAAAAAAAAAAAAAAAAAAAAAGCATGCACACAAAATAATGAAGACTAAAAATTTCAGCAGCAAGCACATTTAAGTTGCATTTGTTCCATAACAGCACTGCCTGAAAGTTTGTCATTTCTGACTTCCATATATTTTATAGATGAGACTGGAGTTTGTGCTGGTTGCAAGACTGCACCCGCATTATTAGAGTTAATGTGAAAATGTGATATGCAGCTTAAGATGTAGGCAACATATTGTGATGAAATGATGGTAATGTATCCTTACAGAAATCAATGTTTGAAATAAGCTTAAGAAGAAAAAAAAAGTTACACAGTAAATTTTTTTGGCAGTAGACTTGCTAGCCTGTTAGCAGTCGGACGTACCGCCCACGGTACATTGGATGGTTTAGGGGACTAATTGGACTGCTAAGGGGTTTTAACCATCAATAATGAAATAAAATGAACTCTGAATGGTACAAAACTTTCAGCTTAAATAATAACATTTGAAGAAAAAAAAAAAGTGGAATGTAGCTTGTAGTGCAAGATGTTTTTGTGGTTTATTACACCAGGAAAACGATATTGTAAATGCAGCCTATTTAGCAGCGTTTGCCGTGTAGTTTTTCCCCCAAATGCACTTTCATTTTTGGAGTGCCACTATAATGTTGATGTATTGCAGAAGGAAGTGACATGATGCATTGCTCTACATTGTGTGAATGTGTGTGTGAATGGGTGGATGACAGGTTGTGTAAAGCGCTTTGGGGTCCTTAGGAACTAGAAAAGTGCTATACAAATGCAGGCCATTTACCATTTTACCATTTACTGGATTCTAGCCCTTGTAAAAAGTTGTAAAACCTTTGATCTGCAGTACAACTCTGATAACTGTAAAGCAAACCATTATTCTAGAAAAAAAATAACAACAGGCGATTGATTAAAGAACTGTTTTATTGATTAGTTGCTGAAGGCAAATGATAACATTCTGCTAACAGCAGAAGGAATGATTGAAGAAACGCTCAACTTAACTTTTTTTTTTTTTTTTTTAAACCAACAGCACTTTCATCAACAAACCAACAGTTCAAAAAGCCCTCTAATTTTCATAACAGCCAGCAGGTCCAAGAAGTAAGATATTTAATTATAGAATCAAGTAACTGATTTAATATCAACCTATTTTCAAGTTTTTACTTTTTCTCTCCAGCAATTTAAGTACTGTTTGCGGCCAAACCATGTCAGGTTTCAAGAGGCCAGGTTTACGTGTTACATTCTGTAGTGTTGAGTCAAGTTTCCACTGCAGGAACTTTTCACTGAAGGAACCAGGGTACAATTACAATTCTGGGGTGTACCTCCAAGAGAGTCCTTGCTCAGGAGGTAGAACAGCAACTTTGGTGGTGGGGTTCAAGCTAAACTTTTCTGATCGACTTGTTAAATAATTTCTTCCAACTACTGGGCAGTTTGCTGTATTGTTGTGTTTAATTTAAAAGTGGTGGTGGTGGGTCTCGAACAGCCATTGCTGTTTCATACATGAACAAGTTTACAGCAATTTCATGTTCTTTGTCTTTTTTGACAGGTTGCTAATTTTCAAAAATAGTGCTTATTCAACATTTAACCTAACAGCATTGAGCCCCACTTGAAGCTTTTCTGGGCAGGAATATCTACCCTCACAAATTAGTCCTACAACTGGAACATATACAAAGGTGTATATGTTGCAAAACCACCTGCCCATCTCCGCCTAGTTTCTGCGGTGGAAACTTTCCAAGTACTTTAGGTGTTACAGAGGCTATATTGTTGAGTTTGTTATGACAAATTATTCTTTAAAATCATTAAAATAATTTAATAGTAACAAAACCACTAAACAATCACAATAGTCAGCAGTATAATTTCTGGACTAAATAAATTATATGAGCTAACATTTAAAAGCATTCATGCAATTGTAGCAATACACATTTCACAATGCATCAAAGTGCCCCGTTACAAATCAAGAACTACCACAATATTTAAAAAAATAAAAAATAAATCACAGTTCTGAAGCGCAATCAATAAATAAATATGCCATAACAACACAAAACAAGTTTCTACAAAAAAACAATTTTGTTTTATAAATCATAGTGCAATAATTGATTTATGCATAAATAGCAGAATTACATTGCCTCAAAGATTTGCCAGCAGTTCAATCAAAAATTAAAAAGCCCTAATCTCAAAGCCCAAGTGTGTTCCCAGAATTAGCTGCAATTAAACAAATACAATGATGTCCTTTTTCAATTTCTCAGGGCGTGTTCGGAGTCATTTTGATATAAATAGTAGATAACTCCCAAAATAGAGACATGCTGTGCTGAGCTGTCGCCATAGATACCGGCACCATGTACCGCAATAAGAACAGACATTCAGAAGTGGAGACAACATTTGCACAGCTGGAGGAATTACAAAGGTTGAAATGCCACAATTTTGTGACTGAAGAACTTGTAAAAACCGACATTAATAACAAAAAATAAAAATAAAAATCTGTAAATGCCGCAAGACAGAATTTCAACCTTAAAGGAAAAAAAAGAAAGAAAAAAAAAGATTTTACACGCCACATGGCTAGTTTTTTTTTTTAAGTTTAACTGTTGTTGATAGCAGTGAATTTACATTTCGCTGTTTCTTGAGAGATAAAGAACTCCTACAGATGTTAAGCTTGATTTGAAACCTAACACTGGGCTATAGGCAGAGAATGTTCAGAGGTATATGTGGCAACAGGTTAAAGACGGTGAGAGAGAGAGAAGGGGGGGGGGGGGGGGGGGGGGGGGGGGGAAGGCTGACATTGCAGCAAATCCAAAGTAAAGCAGCTTTGTGTGGGTAACCCTGAAATGCTGCTTTGGTAGTAGCACTATTAATGGCAAAAAAGCCCATTCTAGAGGCAGACATGAGTGTAGACGAAACTTTTAGCATTTTTACAGACGCAGACAAAGAAGCCTTAAAAGCCTGACACTGAATAGCCGCGTGGTCGCCGTTTAAACATTTCACTAAAAACCTAAACTACCGAAACCTCCAGTAGCTGACACAGTCGACCATCTATAACATTAAGACTACCCATAAAACAAATATTAATATTAGGCTTAACGGTATTACTGTTAAAACGTTAACTGAAATGAGTTTTTCTTGTAGCTACGCATCCATGTGCCAGGAAAACAGTCCCGTAAAAGTTAAGCAGCGGTCATGGTATGAGGTTTGCAGTAATACAGCTACAGTAGCAGAATTAGTAAATATCTGTGATAATAAAAGAACATCTTTCACAAACGGTACAAATACACAATAATATACAGTTCCCAAGCTTATCAGTGCACATTTAAAACATGCTGCACGTTTGCATTCCAACTACACTCAATACAGTGTTTAGATTAGCTTGTAGAGAATGAAAGGAAATATGTGGACACAAAATGGCTTTTTTAAGCTAATCTCTTGTACAAAAACTCATAATCAAGATGTAGCCACCACAGCATATATACTGTACAAGCTCCCTGTTTGTAGAGGTCTCTAACAATAGAAATGAGTTTTTAAATAGTTTTAATGGCTCTAAGTCACTTGAAAAGCCTAGGTATACATACCCAGAGAGATAGAAAGCTGCAAATCACAATCATCAATGCTCCATTACCAAGGAGCTTTAAGAATTGAATTAAACCTGAATAACCTAATAACCTAACAGCTAACAAATATGATAGTCACACTTTATTTTTCAGCCTTAAAAGGTCTGCAACTGTGTTTCTCATACTTGAGTCTTGAGCAATCTTTTTGGGTAGCCATCATTGTTTGTTTTTCCTCCTTGAGAAAAGGATGTACAACACAGTACAACTACCCTGAAGGTAAAATAATTTTATTCTATATCACCAACAGATTCTCGTTTTAAAAAAGCCTTTGTTTTTAATTCTGTTGATCAATCGTGGTAGTAAAAATTACTAAGTGATCTAATGTTAAACTATGAATAGGTTACATTTTGTTGAACATTAACTTATCAATGATTTAATTAGATGTAATCACATACTGGTATCTTAATAACCAAGCCACGAAACTCCACAGCAGTCCCAAACGGAAAAAAACAAACAAACAAAAAAATAGAAAAACAGTATTCTGACAATAGTACAGTGAAACGAAAGGAGATGGTGAATTAAGAGGTTCAGTACCTCAGGCTCTGATCCGAATTCATTTACCACGTTGGTCTATCCATAAACAAAGTAAACGATCTAAATCATTCGTCTAGATCAAGATGAGCAGGACTTCTACCTGAATAAAGCAGTACTGTTTATGGCTGCTTTAACCAAAGGACTCAGAACGAAGCAGGAGAAATACAGCTTTAAGTATGACTATCACATCACAGACATAGAGTTAAAAGACCTGAATATTAATATCCGTGTAGTTTGTAAAGGCATGTGTTGTGTTTTAACAAGTGTCTCCAGAAAACATTTATCTTGTAGGAGGTGATGTGTTCAAGTGTTGAGGTGTTTTTGAGGCGTTTGTGGTCTAGAACCTCTTTGCGTCAGCAGCTGAGGCAAGACTCCCTGAGTTAGTGGAACTGGTCGTGCTACCAGAACCAGACGAGTGAGAACTGGACAAACAGAAGTTGGCAGATTTCTTCTTAGGTGGGTTCTTCAGTGTTCCAGTACGCTCTTTCACTTTGTATTCTAGTGTGCTATGGGGCACCCCATAAACCCCCTGGGCTTTAGACACACTCATGCGACCAGCCATCACCATGGTGATGGCCTCCTCCATCAGTTCGTGGTCATACTGGCGGTACCTCCCACGCTTCTTTCTAGGTTGCTTGTCTTTATCCCGGCAACCTGCCCCATCTTCTGACTCATCCAGTGAGGATCCACGTGGTCCCAGGCGATGAGGTGACTGGCTGGCACTGCCTGGACATCCTTGTGCCAAGAGTGGAGGTCTGAGTTTGAAGAGAGATGAAGGTCTGGCAGCTGCTGTTGATGAACTGGCAGTACCTTCGCTTGATGAGGTACGTTGATGTAGGTTTTCAGCTATGCTGCAATTCTCAGCTGACACTGACCTTTTGTGGTCAGACGCACAACGAACCTGAGGAATACGCAGGGGTGTGGGTGGCTCCAGACTGGGGGTGGGGCTTGGAGGGGGCTGGAGAGCATCCCTGAGCTGGGGAAAACAGTGAGGGAGGGTCTTCTGTAAACTACCCGGCTGATAAAAGGCAAGAACAGATGAAGGGAAACTAAAGTCCCCATGCTCCTCGACAGCACCTCCAATTTCTGCTCGCTCTGCCCATGCTGCCACTTTCTGCAAAACAAGGCGTGCTTCGCCACCCAGCATTGTTGACATCACATTGCATGATGTCACTTCATCCCTGATATCTCTGCTTCCTGCTTTAAGCTGATGCAGCACTCCCAGCCTCCCTTCAGCCCAGCCATCCAGACCCTGTCTCAGGGTTTGAAGGGGTATTCCATAAAGCAACGCAGCCCGCTGCTCCTGCAGCCTTCCTGATCGTATATCCTTCAAGGCCTTGGACAGCAATCCCTCAGACAGCTCCCAGCTCCTCTCAGTGTATTCCTTCTGCCTGCACTGCCTCCTAGGGATGTGAGGACCAAACAGCAGGGTCAGGATGGAGGTGATGGAGGTGGTTTGATTTGTGGCATAGGGGACAAGGGGGTGCAGAGCGAGGGGTCCACTCCTTTATGCCTTGTGTTGGTAACATCACTGCGACTGTTAGTTTCATGTCTGTATGTTCTCAGTCTGTTTGTGGGCCCTCACACGCACGCACACACACTGCTGCTTTGTGTCTCTCACACACAGCAGCAAAGCCTCTTCACGTCCAGGTGGGACAGTCTGTGAATGGCTGGGGTTACTTTGGTGCTCACATAAAACCCCTGTAGTTTGGGGATATCCAGTGAAAGTCCTACATGCTTGAAGATTGGATAATCAAACTCATCATTAATTGTATTAGCAAAAACGGACGTAAAATGGTTGTGAAGTACTGAAATGCTCTCCTCATTATACAATCCTGAACTGCTGGCAAATGTTATAATACGGCCATTGCTGTGACGTTACCGCTCAAGAGATAAAAGAGTAAACCCCATAGAACCACAACACCAAACACAAGCTAGCTCCTCACAATTTATTACAATTACTTGAACCAAAGCACTGCTAAAACAGGAATGTGTGTATTTCAGGCTGAACAGGTGCTATTTAGCTGAGCAGTGAGCATGACAGTAATAAACACAGTGCTCATGCTAACCTCTTAATCCTTGCCATGCTATATAGCTGTTGTTGTACCACACTCAGAAATGTGGATTTGCTGCAAACCAAAGTGATTTTTTTCTAGTCATAGGATATGGGCCATAGTTATGTAAACGGCATTCTTGTTTTTGTGAAGAAGACCCAGATTTAACTAAGAGTAGGGATAAGTCAATAGGCCAGACACATTAAAATGCAGTCAGAGAACTACAAAAACTTACCCTGATCCCCTGTGATTCTCTGATGATGACGAAGTTGTTGAGCAGGCAGAGTTCCGGTTGGAGAGGTCCAGCACACCATCTGTTACAAGACAAGTGTCAGAGTCTGAGTGCCAGTTGTTTGGTTCCTTCAGGAGGATGCCCATGTTACAGTCAGACATAACATTTAATTTTATATGCGTGCACTAAATGCGTTCTCTACCTTCGATCGTGTTCTCCTCCGGAGTTCGGTTCACTGTGAGGTCCAGAGGGGCGTCAGATGCTTCGGACGCGTCAGACAAGGGTGATGAGGTCCTTGTGACACCATTTGTATTGGTGTGGAGCAGGCACTTGGATGCATACTCCTTAGCAAATGTGGTTATCATCTTCTTCATCAGCTCCTGAGCAATCTGAGGTATGTTGGAATCACTGCTCAGGTGCACATCTAACAGGAGGAGAAAGAAAAAAAATACAATTAAAATCACTGGTTTCAATTTTAACATGCATTATTTAAAAGACTAGAAAACTGATCTAGAAAACAGTGTTTAAACAGCGTTTTTAATGAGATATTGAAATTAAATCCACTGTAACAAAAAATGTCTTCTGATGTTACCACACTAGAAACAAGCATCTTAAAAGCATCCTAAATCTTTGGGAACACTTAGTGGGTCATGAATAGCAGAGATTTGACATGCCAATTACACCACAGTAACCGCAATGTGTATTAGGTCAATAATGTAATTCAGTTCATTGTGTACATCAGTAGACAGGAACTGTGAGATACTCCTCTCTGGTTATTCCCCACATTAATATTTATGTCAACTTTGGCAGCTGTTTTCAGTATAGGAGCTCTTAGTATATTAACAGTTCTACATAACAACGAGGTTGTCCAAATCCACCTGACTCACCTTTCTTGTGGAACACAGCTTGGAGGAACTTGTGTGCTGATTGGGTGCTCTCAGAGATGGTTGGGGCCTGACAAGGTGAGTAATCAGAGGGGGAGGAGAGGGGCGACGTGGCTGCAGGTGCTTGATCCTAGAGAGGATGATAAAGAGGAAAAAGAAGAAGATACAGAGACAGAAAGGTGATTACTTATTTAGAATTATTTTTTACTCTAGGGTGAAGAAAAAAGAAAGACAACCTCTCTGAGGCTTATCAAAACTAAAGTCCTTACACTAGATTTGTCCAGGAGCACGTTGCAGAAAGAGCACGGAGAGCAGTTTGATTCTGGAGACCAGTCATCTACCTCTTCCGGTTCACAGTCTGAAAGACACAATATCGCATAACCATGTATTACAGTACTGCTGATGGATCAAACCAAAACTGACAACAGGCAGCAGGGGTTTCTATTCTGTTTCCTTATACCAGCCACTTCAAATGCTGCTGACACAATACTAATCTCATTATGAGCCACGCTATCATATATAGACAATACACACGGAAGAATGACTAGAGTTTTTCATAAGTGGCATCTAAAAATCAATTAGCTGCTAATGTTGATTTCAATAGAATGGTTTTGATTAACAGTTTATCATGCTTGTCTTTTTTATAACCAGTTAAAGTGACCGTCACTCCTGCCTCAATGAACTCTACATAACTGTTTAACACCCCCCTTTTTTTAAGGCGACAAAATACACTGAACAAGAACTGCTTTTACAGCTACTCTCAACCAGAACGTTTGTTGCAGTAGCTCATCTATTGCAGATCAGTGCCTGTAAAATGACAAATGTGACCCTGAACACAAACTGTGAAGCCCACAATCAGTTTGATTTAATTCCAACTAATACTGTAGAAGGTGTAGTGAATCGTGTGAATGCGGACAGCAGAGGTGGGTAGTAACGAATTACATTTACTCCGTTACATTTACTTGAGTAAGTTTTTGAAAAAAAATGTACTTTTAAAGTACCTTTTGTGCACAATACTTTTTACTTTTACTTGAGTACATTTGTGAAGAAGAAACTGTACTTTTACTCCACTACATTTGCAAAATTCGACTCGTTACTTTTTAAAAAATAATTAGTTTAACACATTAGATAACATGCCGCCAGTGGAGTTTCCGGTAAATTTTTTATCAATCAGATGTGGCCATGCAGTCACATGACCAGTTTGAAACTGTGGCGGGCAGAGGGGCCCCAGCGTTTCAAAGTAGCGGACACACGGAAAGAAGAAACACATGAAAACATGGCAGCGCCAACTGTCTACGCTAGAGCTGAAGAGGATGAACACCCTTGGCCTCATATACAAAGAATGTTTTGCTTAAAAGCAATACAATATATATATAAATATTATATTGCACGAACGTGATTATTATATTGTATGAACATATAATTATGTATACTGTAATAACGTGATATTATATTGTTCAAACGTGAAAGGTATATTGCACTAACATGAAAAGTATATTGTTAGAACAATAAACTTTTCAGGTATTTTTCTTTTGCCTGGGTGGCAGCTCTACGCTTACGTACTCTGATGAGCTTGCCACAGTTCTACAACTTGTGCCTCCATCTCGTGTCCATATCAAACGCTGCTCCGCCTTTTCACTTTCATTTCTGTGTTTGTGCATGCGCAGTTTGAGAGGGTACGTTGAGGGGCAACAGGATTTCAAACAGGTTTGATGTTCTTGCGACCATACGATTGATGATTGGGAGCTGGTCGTGAGGTCTTAATTGCTTTTCGTTACCCCATGTATACTACACGATGCACAACACACGGTTAAGGCGAAACTCGGGCCGATCCCCAAAACGGTTGCGCGACTGAAAAATCGGCTCAAAATGGGCCAAAAAAAAAAAAATTGCACAGTGTATGCCCAGCTTTTGGAGGCTAGCTTCATCCGTCTCCCTCCCCTGTGGTTGGAAGGGGCGGGTTTTATCTTTTTGCAGCCAGACTGAGGTGTTTGCCTTCTCAAGACAGCCATGGAGAGATTAGAGGCTACATCGTAGCTCCAGTCACGGCTTCCATCACTGTCTTTCTCGTCTTTCCCAGAGTAACAGCCAAACAGGAGGATCTAATGGCTAGCACTGCTTAGCCTTGCACGCGTTCTTATTTTAAACTTAATCTGGAATTCATTGCAAAGTGTTTGTGCGGGATATGAATGACAAGATTTTGTTTTTCAACAAGAGTTAGTAAAAAAACATCTCCAGTGTGATCAAATTTTCTTGCCAAACATCCGCAGCTTGGCAGTGTATACAGCACTATAATGACCAGAGCTAATTCTTTTGAAAACCATACATCATACAGGTCTCAACTTCATCAGACATCACCTAGACACAGAGCTGGATGATGCCAGTACAAACAGCGGCCTAACCGACGAAGATGATGGATCCATGGGGGCAGGAAAGCCAGAAGCAGGGGAGCTGGAGAGGTACCTTTCATGTCCATTCACTGGAGGTGTGGATCTATTGCATGGCTTTCCTCACATCAAGAAGCTGTCAATCAAAATCAATACAGCTCTTCCTGCATCTGGAGCTTGTGAAGGACTTCTCAGTCATGCAGGACTCCTGTTCATTGCTTAATAGTTACAGCTTCACAGAAAGAACCTTGAGAGCAAACTGCTGCTGAAGCTTAACCATCACTTCACTGAGTGAAGAAATGGCACATTTTTGCTAAATATCCAGAAAATGCACACCCATACAACTTATGGTAAACTGAGCTGCCTTGTATGTACATATGTTGAAGATGCCTCGTTCTAATGTTTTCTCTGAGGCTGCTGTGCCATTTGGAGCAAAAATGAATATAAAGTTTACAGCATATCTTGTCACTGGAAATAGTTTGCACTGTTTATATATTTATATTATTTACTGTAGGTATTGGTGAAAAAAGCTTTATGTTGTGAAAAACTGAAATCAGAATTGTGCCTTATTTTGTTGACGTTTTTACATATATTCCTTTTGAAAATACTAAAATTTGTATATTTATTTATTTTTGTTTGTCTGATAACATTTATTTATAAAATAAACCGGACATTTCAAACAGTTACTCACTACTTGAGTAGTCTTTTCACCAAGTACTTTTTTACTCTTACTTGAGTAACTTTTTTGACGACTACTTTTCACTTTTACTTGAGTAATAATATTTTAAAGTAATGCTACTCTTACTTGAGTACAATTTTTGGATACTCTACCCACCTCTGGCAGACAGACACATGATGCCTCATCATGGTATATGCACAACTCACCTCTTGTCTGATTAGATGACATAGCATTAAAAAGAATACTGAAAATATAATTTTCCAACCTTATACATTGAGCTGTAAATGTATAACAGAATAAAATGTCCTATAAATTATATATTTTATATTATCTGCATATGACCCATTACCCCAAATTGTTTTAGATACATTTTAAGTAACCATCTTGCTCTAATCCAAGTGTATATTACATGAATACATTACTGATTGAAGAAGTGATTAAAATCAGACTTTAGATATGATGCTGCATTAAATGTAAATGCCTACAGTTGCCAGTAATTTTACTGTTGCCAATAGTGTGCTGCACGCTTGTATTTAAACAGCGGCATCAGCTGCCACTGCATTTGACTTTTTGAGCTAAAATGTTTCTGAGGTTGGATGTACCTACACCCATCAGCAGTTTACTTCATATCATGGAAAGCCTTGCTATGATTTTCTTAAAGGTACATGTAATATCAGTTTTCCAGAATAATTTTAGACCGATGCCTAAAATACTATGAATTAAAGTGTAAAGGATATTTTGGTACTTTGAAGGCACAATTTATATGAATTAAGTATATTTTAATTTCATATCGTTAGTACCGTATTTTTTTGGACCATAAAGCGCATTAAGCAAAACAAGCATTAGCATTTATCCTCCAGCTTCACTGTTTATGTTATGCTAACATAGCTATGTTGCTAGCGATCACATAGCACAGCATTATATACCAGCTAGTCCAACTTCAGTAACCCTACAAAAGTCACTGCTGTTTACTTTTCTGTCTTCATTTATGTTGGAAGTGATAGCAGAGCTGTATGTTTATATTTTTCACAAATCACTCACTCAAAACGTGGTATACCATGTTTAGGTGGAAACTAGCGAGCTAACTTCCTGCTAACTTCTAACTCCCTTAAATTTAAGAAATTCTGTTTTCATGGATACCTGGATGTTAAACTTAATTGTCACACCTGGTAAAGCAGCAACGCTGCTCATTTTATTAAAGATGAAAGAATTTAGACAGTTGTAACTCTCAGTGATGCCGCAGTGTTCGTTTGACTTCGAGACCTGAAGCAGACGCAGCTTTGGACCCAGATTACTCCGCGAGGCCCTTGACTACGGTACCCGTAATCCTCCGACAATACATCAAGCGGTGCGACTTCGTAGCTAAAGTTGTACTAAAAGATTTTTTGTCAGATTTTTGAGCGCTGTGTACCACATAAAATTGGTTCAAGGTCAGTAAGCACAACCGGAATTAATACTTAAGGCACACTGTGGATTTTTGAGAAAATTAAAGGATTTTAAGTGTGCCTTATAGTGTGGAAAATAAATTATTAAGGGTGGCAGTAAAAAAAATGTTGCACAGTGGTGTTGCGCTGTCTTATCATTCATTTAAGATAGATTTTTTTCCCACCCTGATCTTGTCTCAAATGAATGCCTCACTGAACAAATCATCCACCCAGCCAGGAGTCCATCACGTCATCTGACTAGGTTCCAGTGTAGCCTAACTCAAACCCCAGATGACACTGCAGACTTCAATGAAATCCCAGACAGTGTCAAGCAAGCTGTATGTTTTGGCTGCTGGTGTCCACAGAGTGCTAGAGGGATGTGAAGGCATGATCGAAGCTAATAAAGGCATCAGAGAGACAGAAAGTAAGACTTTCTTTAGTTTTTTCAGGGATCTACCAAATTCTGGTGTTTTAGGTTAGATTTATTTGACTTCCAGGTTCGATATTGTGCTCCTTCCTGATATAAGTACAAAGGGTAGTGGCACCATGGGTATGTTTTATGGTGTAACTGCTTGCTTTATATACTGCAAATATTTTGTGAAGACCTTTGTTCTTGTGAGGCTGACATACTGGTGGTGCCTTGGAGCACACCGTAAAGAGTGACGGAAGTTTCCAGGGCGTGGGGGCTTTTGTGACGCTGAGGTTGTTATGTGACTGCAGAATTTTAGCAGGTGAGAAATGGGTCACACATAAACACATGGCAAAGGCAAAGAAGATTAAATTTCAGCTGATACATTACAGTTTACTCAACATGGTTTTGGCAGCTCTGGAGACTCTACTTTTCAGCATACTGTACAGTCATCTGACACAGAAATGGACTCTATCTCCTCAGGGCTCAGTTTTAGGCTTTTGAAAATCTAGTCCCTGATTACTCCTACCACAGCTTTAGGTCTAACAAAATATTGAAATTAGAATACCAGAAAATATTTAGACTTGCCTCTAGGATCAGTGAAACTGTATCATAATTTGTTAACAATAGTTGTTAAATAATCTAATAATGCAATCTGCTGTGCTTTCTCTCGAGGCAGCATAGAGCATATATATGTAAAATTATGAGTTAAAGAGGAAGTGGACTGCTTTTAAATGAGCAGGAAAAGAATCGTTTTTGCTATTTTTGAGTCCTACTTAAAAACAATATACGGTTAAAATTACAGTCAAATGGGAAGTACAAGTATGAATCATACTGAATACGTAGTTTCTGATTCAACTACTTAAATAACGTAATGAATACCAATCAATAGCTAAGTAAATCCCACAACAAATGCTAACCTTTTTTTGGTTTAAAAGCCTTAATATTGGTGACACATGTTTGAGGTCTGATATTATAAGAATAGATATGGGACAGCGTTGGGAAGACAAAAGGCATGGCAAGAATAATGATTTGTTTGTTTGGCAATATCATCGCTTATGCTGAAAATAAATGTACAGTCCTCTTATAGTCACAAGCCAATGGTAAAGAGCATATACAACCAACAACCCACCATGAAATAAATTGAGGTCTCTCGGCAGCGGGCCATAAATTCCCTCCAGAATGCTTTCAAACCCTGCAAGACAAAAATGGGAGCAATCCATCAGTGCTGATACGAACAAGTGCATGGTTTAGGGCTCCAAGATCTGAGAAAAATCTGCTCTCAAAACTGTTTACTATGTTGTCATTTTCAGGAAGACAGAACAATTTAGATGTTTACAATGAACTCTTTATAAACCTTGAAAAACACACATACATGATTACATGTAGGATGCCATTGTCACAACAGTTTAGATCAGAGGTGTCAAACATGCAGTGTGAATATTACCGTGAAGTTGTTATTACTCCCATTTAAAATTTCCTGGTGTGGTGTTAACAGCATTATTTCACAGGAATTAAAATGTAACTGTAGATACAGGCAATTTCTTTAAATCACAAAAACAAATGTAAAGGTTTATTTTGTGCCTTTTTAACTGTGATACATACAATACCAGACGATGCAAAGAACATCGAGAAATGCTGAAACTACATCAATCATCATATTTGCTAAATGACCAAAATAATTTGATGTCTGACAAAATTTTACGGGAGTCTTCTATATTTTGGGTGATGTCAGTTTTTTGCTTTGTTTAAAAAATTTTTTTAAAAAAAAGATCGAGTTTTTTTGTGACCAAATGTACAGTGGTCTTATAAATCCGGCCGACTTGAGACCGGACTGGACCGTATATGGCTCATTAGCTAAAACGAGTTTGACACCCCTTGTTTAGACGTTATACACAGTAGGAAACTGACTTACGAATAGGTGCGCCAGCCTTATGCTAACATCACCAGCTACTGTAGCATAAAAAACTGCGTTCAAATTAGAAGAGAGCCCGAGAAAAACCGTTACCGGACACCACTGAAATGAATGCTTTCCTGGCATTGCACTGACATTAGCTTACTTAACGTAACAACATCCTCCCGAAATAACAACAGCTTTTAGCTAAGCACTGCTATAGCATAGCCATCGAACAATAAACAATTATAACTGTTTGTTACTAATATAACTGATGGTGTTATGGTACACCGATAGATAAAATTACATATCTTGGTTGGGCATATGCATCATATCTTATTGGTTACAATCCAATTTAAGACAGAAATGAAAAGACCTAAGAAAGCGCTAACGCCGGCGAAGGGCTAGCAAGCGCAGACAAAAGGAGCTAGCTAACCAGCTGTCTTGGCTTAACTGAACACTAAAAGCAGTAGCTGCTAGTTAGCTAGGAACCAACACAGCTCGGGTAGCGATCCCTCTGTTGCCGGACAAAACCATTCACTACATGTTTTATTTTTTACAAAATACTAAACTGCATATGAACCATACCGACGCAGTGTATCAATTTGTAACGCCAAGAATCAAGTTCCCGCCGAAACAACTTCTTTTCTGCCATGCATCTACACTGCAGCGTCGTCATTCTTCGTCCTCTGCCCCTCTTTCTCCCCTGTTTGCGTTACAGCCGCTGTGTATTGTAACCGCTGCGGTGCATTTGTCGCCGCTACCCGATCCGTACCTGAAACCCAACCCATACCACGCATGCGCGAACCTTACCTCACTTCCTCTCTTTGCCAACATTTCCTGGAGCACGATTAAAAAAACAAAATTTAAAAATGACCGTTGTTGTAACGCAAACAAATTACCAACATGATCAGTGCAAGCAGACTAGATGATTCATAGAATTATGAAATTACTAACGGCAAATTTATATATGAAAGACTCTGTCCCAACCCTTTACGATCCAAGGTTTCCACTGTATCCATGCAGCCTACTGTGGAGGTCACAAAATATGGCGCTCCAGAGCGGCTGCAGCCAGACCCTTCTCAACATTTTCTGAAGAGTTTGCTCCCTTTCTTCTTGAGTAGTTTGCAGAAAGCATAGGAAACCAACAACTTCCCAGTACAATGAATCAAGGTTTGACCAGGTTGATTCCAAAGCATAATAAGGAACTATTAATGATTGATAATTGGAGACCAATTAGCCTATTAAATAACATTATAAAGCATTTGTTCTAATTTTAGCTAATAGACGGTTCTTGACTCGGTTATTGATGAAACCCAATCTGGCTTTATGCCCAAAAGACACATAACTAACAATATCAGATTGGTTTTAGATATTCTGGATTATTCTGACCTAATAAATAGCAATGGATTCATATTATTTTTAGAATTCCACAAGGCCTTCAATACAGTGGAGCATGAATTTATATTTCAAGCTCGAGATAAATATGGTTTTGGTACTTACTTCTCTTCAGTGATTATACAATAACAGTAACAACAGTATTAAATTAACACCAACACCTTCACCCAGATTTAACATAGAAAAAGGGATAAGACAAGGCTGTCCCATTTCTCCATACATTTTTTTGTTAATTGCCCAACTGTTGTCTAGTCATACGAAGTCAAACAATGTAGAAGGTATATTGCTAATTGGCAAAGATTATTCACATTATTCATTATTCCACATTATTCCTAAAAGATGAACATCAAATATCTATTGCTGTTGAAACAATCTCCACGTTTCCCAGGACTGTACTTGAATATTCCTAAATGTGAACTTATGGCAATAAAAGAATATTCGAAAACAGATTTGTGTAACATTCCAATAAAACAAGAAGTTCGCTTTTTAGGTATTATAATAACCAAAAACCAGGAAAGAAGAATTACTCAAAATTTCTATCCTATTCTAGAGAAACTCAAAAACAGATTTACTCAGTGACTCTTAAGAGATTTATCATTAAAAGATAGAGTATTAATAACTAAAGCAGAAGGCATCTCTCGTCTTACATACGCAGCATTGGCATTGCACCTCGATAATAAACTCATAAAAGAGTATTGATAAGTTACTCTTGAACTTTATTTGGAAAAATAGGACACACTACATTAAAAACAGTTCTTTTTGAACTCTTATGTCAATGGAAGACTTAATGTGCTAGATTTTAACACTCCTTTTAAAGATCTCTTTCTTTTGATCACAGGAGAACAGATGTGAGATGGAGTTTGGATTGGATCTATATGGGGAAAAAAGCATTAGTAAATAATCCCCTAATGTTGGAGTTTTGTAATGTTGTGCCCATTTACTAAGAGTTCAGGGAGGCCAGGGGGTCTATAGTCAGGGTTTTGAAAAAGATTATATGCTGTACATAGAATGTTTTGAGGGATAGCCTTAGAGTATATTAAACTCCACCGAGACAGCTGGTGACGCAAAACTGAAGGCTAGACTGTCCAGTTTCACAGCTGCTCACTTCTGGCCTACCTGGCCTTTGAACAACCCGGCCCACGTAGACCGCAACGCTGGGTCCTCAGGAGGATGCAGCCTATGAATTTGGACACCCCTTAAAAACACAGCTCACGTTCTTCTTCTGCCTTTTGGGCGGGTGCATTACCACCACCTATTGGAAGTATGAATGAGGTGTCCAGGTGGTGAGTTGAGAGCTCAGCCCCTCTCTTTACCCGAGTCTCCAGAAAATGTGGTGCACCAGAGTGGTAGTATGCAGAGGAATGAGAGGTCACAGAGGTCACATATCATTCAACAAGGCAAGTGATTGTTTGTTCAATTGAACAAATTGTTTACAGTGGAAAACATATGTAGGCATATTTATAGATAGAAACTTTATTGAGTGTTAATGTCTAACACTAAGGGACAATCACAATGGGATTACAATATTTCTAACCACTTATTTAAGTGTCATTTACTTTATCATTTACTTAGCTACACAAAGATGTATTTAAAACTGTGTTTCGCAAATCAGTTAAAAATGCAGACCAGATGATTGTCTACTGACCAATCAGTTCTCTGGAAAATAGAGTCACCATTTTCTGGAAGATCCCTCAGACCTCTGTATGCCCATGCTGCCACTGTCACCCCTTTCCTGTTCAACACGGTGTGGGATTGCGTGACTGCTTATCCCAACATCCAGTGTTAGGGTAAATTAATCCAGAAATTAATCCAGAACGATACCCTGGATACGCTGAACTTGTGTCATAGTAAAGGCTTCAGGATATAGAGTGACAAAACAAAAAGTGAACTTAATTTAAAGTAAAAAAAAAACAAAAGGAGAAAGAATGCAAAGGTTCAACAATGACACAAACAACCCATGCACAGGAATATAGTACACATACACAAGGAGCATTCGAGGAACAACAGAAAACCAACAAAGCAAAGAGGGGGAGAGAGGGCTGACTAAGGAAGTGATAACCGAAAGGGACATAATGTACATAATCAAGACAATCACGAGGGAGAAGTAAAACTCAAGGCACAAGCAGCTGTAAAGAGCCAAGTAAAACCAGAAACAACAAGATAAAATACACAGACAAGAAAATCACAGTGATAAATACAAAGGACCATTAAGAAGTCTCAAAACCATGAGGCAGTGATGTCCCAACATGGAAATGCACTACTACAATACTGAAACCACAGCAGTGACAGAAGATAAAACCACACAAAAATCTACACCAAAACACAATAATCAATACCTGACATGTAAGAAGACAGAAACTCCCTAAAAGAATGTGAAACTCAGACACGACAAGTCAGACACAAGCTTAAAAGCATGCCCGATATCAGGCACCACACAATTCTGTTAAGGAGTTAAGTCAGACTCCTTGCCTGAACTACATGTGGACCATTTGTGCTTATAAGAATAATCAGCTCACAACAGCCCCACTCTGAGCAGGAAAACCCCTGTCATTAAAACATTTGATGTGCCACAGTCAAAGGTCAGATATGTGATTTTTGATTTAGTGAGAGTAAAAAAGGAATACGTGGCATACTCGACTATTTTAAAAGTCTATTTAAACTCCTAAAATTAAACTCAAATCATTGAATTAATAGCTTGTGATTTCATAAATATATTCACTGTGATGTTTTTTGTTTTTTTAAATATCGGAACAATTCTGCACACAGCATCTGCGATCGCAAAGGTAGCTGCTAATGGGGATTGTAATAAAGCAGAAAATCCAAACAAATGCAAATATTTTCACTATCCTCAGTGTCATCACACTCGTCACAGTCAGAGTGACCACATGAGGGCAGCAGAGTGCTTTCAGGATGTGAGGGTTAGGCGCACTGTGCATGTTTGGATTAGCACAGAGTCGAGTGAATTCACCATTATTATTCATCGTGATTACAGAATTCTATTATCTGACACGTTATAAATATAGTTTATTTATTTACATCCAGCTGCGGCTGTTCTGTCAACAGGGGAATCAAGCTGCGGACGTTAAAGAGGCCCAAAAGCCCCAGTTTCACTGTGTCACTTTTGAAAATTGTAATTAATTGCAAATCTGATGGGATTACATGCCACTAAGGCACATCGTGCTCCTAAATCACTGACTTAAAGGTATATTTGTACAGTCTGAGGGGATGAAGGATGTATGCAATAAAAATAAATAAATAAAGGATTTTGCTTTTTTTCTGTGTGTTTCTCCATCTACACTGTCTTAAGTAATGTGCAAAAAATGCAGGGGCTGCCTTTGCTGAAACTTTTTGCTTCTCTCAGGGTCCCCTGATAGGTTAATGCAAACCAATAATGGGGAACCCCAGAAGGTATGTGAACAACAAGGGCAATCAAATGGGCTCGTGGAAAGAGACTGTGGCGGGGACAGAGCGGGGAGGCCGACTAGAGGACATATGAAATAGTTATGAAGAGCGATGGAGGGCTGTAGAGCAAACGGGGAGACGTGATTGAATGGTGAGCGTGGAGGAGGCACAAGTGTCACAAGCCCAGGTGGAATTCGTTGTCACGGTGACTTAGGGCGCTGTTGCTGTGGAGATGGCGATGAAAGACGGCAGTCTGGTGAATGGCATTTCTGGGCCGGAGCGTGACCAACAGCATACAGCCCCGTGTGCCCTGAGGGGGGGCGGCAGAGATGATCGTGTGCAGGGTCACCACATTGCTGTGGCTATGTGCGCTTTACTTTCAAGCACCCATGCATCACAGTGCGTGCACGTGAGTGTGTGTTTTAATGCCGGCGTGTATGTTGTGTGTCAGTGTAGTACACTGTATCTCCAACATGTATTGAGCGATCAGGGAAAGAGCAGCAGCTTCCCACCTCAGTGGTGGGCCCTCTGCTGCCTCTGCAGCCACCCCGAGGACCTTTTAACACCTCAGTTGTCACTATATCTCATTACGACAATGCACACAGCCGTAACTGCGGATAGGCCCTCTCAGAGGTGTGGGCCTGTGAGAATAACTGTGTAAGTGCACACCTGGGTCTTGTTATTAAGTTCAGAAGAGGGGCACAGTAGCACTACATTTTAATTTCCCTCAGTTGAACCAGCTCTCAAAGTCCAAACACAACTACCCGATTAAATATAACCACAGGATGAATAAATCCCAAGAACTCATTACACCCAAGAACAAAGCATATCCTTTAAAATAACCACGGAAAGATGACAACCAAATTATCCATCTTATTTCCCCTAACTCCTTCCTCATTTACACTTTTTCTGCCCAGATCTCATCCTGCTGGTTTCCCTGCTCTAATTCTCTCTGTTCCCTGAAGAGGGCAGTGCGAATGATGCATTTTAGGATGTTTCA